TATTATAATAAGTTATAACTTTGCACTCGATTTATAGTTATTTTAACCAGTTAATTAACCACATTTCATTTAACAATTTAGCGTCCCAAGTCTAATTGAAGTTGCTAAAGCTCTTAAATGATGATTTTTCTACGAATTAATATGGATGACTTAAAGTCTAATGAGTTAAAGACTATTTAAATCAGCTAGCGATGTTCTTTTGGTATACGAGCTGTTACAAAATGAGGTTGGATCTTGAATAACATTTGTAGATTTTAAAGAATTTAAAGCGTTTTCGTTGTGTCGTTATTTTCTAATTTTATGTTCTCATGTATTCATACGTCATGTTCTCTAAAAGTTTCGATCAATTTAAGCATCACTTTTGTAGAATCATTCTAATTGAATTCAATATTTTAGAGCTTAACCTTAATTTGTTAAACGCTTTTTAATTGCTTGAGCGCTCATTAAAAATCCATAAGAACATTTAGAAATTTCAAATTCACCGTTAGGATATGAAACACAATGTGAAATTTTTGTTGTTGGACTAAAGTCACAAAGCATCGTGTGGTGTAGTAGATAATAGCAGTTGGAATGTACATTGAGTGGTTTGTTAATGTGTGATATATGACCAAATTCACAGTTTTAATTGATGAAAATAACGTACTCCTTTCTTATGATTTCATATTGAGTTACTCATTTTTCCAAATTGAAAAACCTCGTGACATGTCATATATATGGTATGAGGCCTCCAATTTGAGATTGTACTTGATCATATGGTTGCCAACAATTTCAGTGAGTCTGGCGACCAGCTCGGGTTTAACGAGGCGTGAAAAATCCCGATAGTTCCATGTTCTTTCGATAACCAAATGACCCCAATACGGAATCGATCTCAGTAAAATCCCGGCTATCCATCAATTGCATACGTAACCTTTTCTACCAAACCGTGCTGTTTTTAACCCTACTACGCTTAACTGACTGACATGGTTGTACGTATATAAACAGAGGCGTGGTAAGAACCTCTAGGTGGTGCCCCTGTTTTTTTTCACACTCAACATCTTATTACTGTTCAAGGACACAAATAAGGTCAATAATTAATCAAACTCTGGTCAATCTACCACCCACAATCAGCAAAAACGGCTCTTGTTAAAGTTATATCTGACGCTGGTCTCTCTTAAAATCGAGGGGCTCATACCGGAGAAAGAATAGCTAATATCAGAAATCGTGAGAGAATATAAATGCGAAGTTCTGTGCCTGCAGGAGACTCATAGAGTCATAAAATAACATAAAATGCATGACACTCATCATCCAACGGCCGCTGCCATGAGCTTTACTAACGACATAGTGATACTTACAGCCGACCTGGGAAAGATCATAATATCATCGGTGTACAAACTCCCAGGAACCGGGTTCATTTTCACAGAGCCATACAATTTCAGAGACAATAGGACAAAGATTATAATTGGTGACTTTAACAGCCATAGCATAAATTGGGGATATAACGGGACCAATGAAGATGGTGAGAAGGAATGGGCGGAGGCAAACGGTCATTCTCTTATCTTTGACGCCAAATTATCAGCATCTTTCAACAGTGGCCGATGGAAGCCAGGGTACAGCCCAGATAATATTTTCACAAGCGAGATCATTGCTACCCTATTCAAAAAAGAAATTTTGACTCCCAGTCCTAAAACTCAACACCGAACGATTGCCTGCGAAATCAAAACCACAATCAACCCAATAACTGTACTTTTTCAATGCTGCTTTAACTTTAAGAATGCTAAATGGAGTTTTCAAAAGCACTCGACAAAGCAATAAAACAAATCATTCTGCCCTTCATCAGTACGAGACATTTTTTTAAGTGGTTAAAAAATATCGAGGAAGTACATCCCTAGAGGCTGTCAAATGGAATATATCCCAGGAATGAAGAAGAACCTCACAAACAAACTATACAAGTATGATGTGAGCTTCAAAAATCAACCCTTTAAACTAGAGACCGAGGCTTTGGGGGAAGAATTAATAAAGATATAACGAAAGAAAAAAAGAATAGCAATAAATACTGGAGGGAATTGACATGAAAAAAAAAAATAGTAGCAAAGAGTGGCGACTCATAGACAACTAAACTGTGAAAAGCGACCGAAATATCAGTACACATGTTTGTGTACTGATACTAATTGCAGACGAAGTAGGCCACCAAATTCTCATTTGTTATAATATTTTTAATTATTCATTAATAAATTAATGAATTGAAAAATTAAAAGATGTTAAAAATAATTTTATTAAAATAAAAAAAGTTTATATTTGGAAAAATCTACATACCTTGTGTAAAAAGCGATTGAGGTAGCTAGTTCATGGTATTATTTGTACATGTCATGTATTAAATCTTTTAAATAATAAATTGTTAGTTTTCAAAAAGATAACTGCACGTTAATGACAATTAAAAACAAATGTAACTGGATAAGAAGTGTCGAACTGGTTATATAATAAAGAATAATATGCGTAGGCATGAAACATGATCGGCGATATCATTTTTTTCATACAATACATACGACAGTAATCGTTATTGTGTGGTGTTACCTTTAATGTTGAAAATATGCTTACAAAAGCGTCTGGTAGCCGATGATAAAATTCTTAGAAAATGATTCATTACATACAATCTATAGGCGTGCAGCAAGTTGTGTTAGTTTACATCGGGTTTCATCCCCACTCAACCAATTATATTAAATTAATATATGTTAATTTTTTACTACCCCCTTCTTTTTGTCTTGGAGAAGGAGGAGATCCTCTCCCGTTTTATTTAGTTTACGTTAAGTTTCGTAGTTCCTCTTCCATTGCATTAGATTAGATTACATTGGATTTAATACTCCACCGAAAACGCCCCTTCACGTACCCGAACGTGGGAGGAGTGAGATGAGGGGCTAAAACTTCCTATTTTAATCTACTTACAATTAATCATTTATTTGTAGAAATCTATTTCAAAAGCCGACTTGGATTCGGTTCGTTTT